AAAAAAAAAAAAAAAAAACAGGTTCTAAAATCCAATCAATACAATTACTCTAAGTTGAGGGGCAGAGGCGTAAATAGTCGAAAGTTTCCCACTATATATTCTCGACTGTGGCACGTTCGCCATTATTTTTCCAGTTGCAAGATCTCTCAAGCTCTCTCCTCTAGCAGAGATTTGTTAGGTATGGACAATTTTTCCTTTCAATTTTCGTTTCTCTCGTAATTTTCGCAGTTTTGGGATCGTCTTTTGTATTTCTGGTCCGTACGCCTTCTGAGATAGGGTTTTGCGTGTTGTACGCTTGAGCCATTAGCCTTATCTGTTTCGATTTGTTCTTGATTTTCGTGGGTTTTCTTCGCTCGGGCTTAATCTTGTTTTTTTTTTTTTGGAATTTGTAGACTAGAAATTGATCTTATATATGTCGGTGATTGCTCGTGTCTTTTGCTGTAATTTTTTTTCGATTTTAGGGTTAAAAAATTCTATTTTGAATGTTAATTTGAAGGTCTGTTGTAATTACTTTAATTTTTTCATGAGTTTGTAGAGATTCATGTTACTCTCTTGAGCTTGTAGAGATATTCTTTTTTTTTTTTTTTTTTTTTTTTTTTTTTTTCTTTTTTTTAGCTATTTAGGTCAATGACTGAAAAGTTTTTTTCTTACTGTAGTCTGGGTAGATTCCCACACAGCCGAGCATATGTCGAACAACAAAGATGATGGGGCTGCCGAGAGGATCAAAGCCGCCGCCTTATCCGCTGCCAAGGGCCTCAGCCGTGCTCAGGCTGAGCGGGCAGCCACTGCAGCTGCCCGTAACGTGAACGCCTATGGCCAGAAGGAAGAAGGGCCGAGCAGGTGGCAAGAGAGGAAAGAGGCAAAGCGCCAGATGTACCTGATGAGCACTGAGAAACAAGTTCGGCTGGGCGAACGCAAGGATCTCAAGAGCTCAACCTCGACTTTGTCCTCTGCTGCCTCCCAATGCCAAAAATGCTTCCAGACGGGCCACTGGACTTACGAGTGCAAGAACGAGCGCGTTTACATCTCGAGGCCTTCCCGAACTCAGCAACTCAAGAATCCTAAGCTCAGGATGAAGGTGTCCATATCGTATGATCTGGACAGCAACCCAGATGCCCCGGCAGAGGAAAAGAGCAAGAAAACTGAAAAGAAGAGCAAGAGGAAGCATAAGTCTGATAGTGAGGCTTCAGTTTTCGAGTCTGACAGTGGGGGCTCGTCAGTTACAGGGTCAGATGATGGATCGTCCGGGGAGAGCGAGTCGAGCTACAGCTCGTCGACTGATTCGGAGGAGGAGAGGAGGAGGAGGAGAAAGAGCAAGAAGAAGAAGCAGAGGAAGAGAAGGCACAGGAGGTATAGCTCGTCTTCCGAGTCCTCGGATTCAGATTCTGGCTCAGATTCGGAATCTGAGGGAAGGAGGAGCCGAAGGAAGGGGAAGAGCAGGAGGCATGGCAGGAGGCACTGAAGGTGGGGTTGTGGATTTGACTTGTGATGCTCTACACAAACTGTTTTGGCTTCTCTTTCGTTAGTGTGTTTGTGTTTGATCTATTTGGTTTTATAGTATGCAAGTGTGTGGTAACAAGACTAGCTATATGGAGTAAACGAGCTGTTTATAGATGATTGTGGATTTCAATGTTTTTTATGGCAGTATTATTGTGCTTTGCTAAGGTTTGCTTAAAATCTGATGATTTACTTGATAAAAGGTGTTTAACTTGGTTTTCGCTCAGTTGGATAATCTACGGAAGCAGCGTAATCAACTTACTTTTCCGCACCATATTGATTGCATGATGAAGATTTCTTTAGAGGTTGATATTTATTGGGTGTCAGCTGCATTATTCCCTTGGTTTGTTGTTGAGTAACTATCATTCTGATTGTCCCTATTTAGCAGTACATTTGGGGAAAATATGCTTTGTGCCTCTGGCTGTGAACTTTGAAGTTTGAGAAAACTGATACGGTGTAGAATCTATTGTCGGTATGGAAACACCTTATCTGTAAAATGCTTGTGCCGATGTTGCTGCGAACTTTGAATTACAAGGTGGTATTGTTAAGGATCTACATAGTGAATATCAGTTTCCGTATGTATGGTGGTTTTATGAGGTCAAATTGGTCACTTGTCGTCGGTTGTCACCAGGGCTCGCAGGATACTCAATGTCATGTTGCGGATCGATTTGGTCAGGTCACTCTTCACGTCGAATTAGAAGTTTCTTCATTCAAGGAATTGGCTTTAGCCTCAACTGTAAAGGGTGTAGTGTAGGGTTGTAAACAAATCAAACATTTTTGATTCGATTCATGATTCGAATTCGATATTCGTGATTCGAATTCGAAATAATCGAATTCGAATTCGAATTCGAATTCGAATTCGAATGATGTTTTAGATTCGAAATTATAACGAATTCGAATTCGAATGTGTAGATATTCGATTCGAAATTCGAATATTCGATTCGTTAACAATAATTATATAAATTTTACAAATTATACATAATATACATTTTGTTTATAATATATGTATATATATATATTGTTATATTCCTAATATTTTTATGACATAAAAAGTAAAAACATCATAAATTAACAAATTTTTCTAAAAATATATGAAAAATAAAATTTATTTTTGTAATTATAATATTTTTATACAAATTATATATAATATACATTTTGTTTATAATTTATGTATATATATATATATTGTTATATTCCTAATATTTTTATGACATAAAAAGTAAAAACATCATAAATTGACAAAATTTTCTAAAAATATATGAAAAATAAAATTTATTTTTGTAAATATAATATTTTCTAATTATATTATTTTTTTGAAAACAAATTTCGAATCGAATCGAATATGTTCGAATATTCTAAACGAATCGAATACGAATCAAAAAATGAATTCGTTATCGAATCGAATCACGAATCGAATCTTCGAATATTTTAAACGAATCGAATCGAATCTCTGGGTATTCGCTTTGATTCGATTCGTTTACAACCCTAGTGTAGTGTAGTCATGAGGTAAAATCGCAGCGTAAAAGAATCACAGGTCGACTTGCCTAATTGATAAACATTATGTAGTTGTTTGGATGTTACTTGATTGATGTAAAATTAGTGGGTTGAACCTCATTCCATTTAGATGTTTGACCCGTCAAAACTACGAAAAAATTGTTGTTTACAAAATAATTATACATATCGCTATTTACCAAAAAGTTATACTAAGAAATCATTCTTTACAAAATAATTCTACAAATCGCTATTTTCCAAAAAGTTATTTACAAACTGTTTAACAACTAACTATAACACCTTATTTAGATGTTTGACCCGTCAAAAATACGAAGAAATTGTTGTTTACAAAATAATTATACATATTGCTATTTACCAAAAAGTTATACTAAGAAATCGTTCTTTACAAAATAATTCTACAAATCGCTATTTACCAAAAAATTATTTACAACCCGTTTAACAAATAATTATAACACCTTAATATAACTATATCGTTGTTGTATAGCTAATAGCCAAACAAGTATTATTGCTCAATTTGCAAACTAGACACGCATTATATTATCAACACAATTTCTCTTTCTTTTATATATATGAAAAAGCTAAAAATATAATATAATAATTCAAATTTGCAATTGGAAACAGTCTTGTAAATTTATGGTGTTTAGTAATTCTATATATTAATTTATTTTTTGGTGTTTAATAATATTTTGTGTCAAATTTTATTGCTTTAGAGCATTCAATGTGAATTTTTATTTGAACTTTTGAGAACTCCTAAAATTATAAAATAATTGAGCAGTTTAAATTAAATATAATTTTAAATTTAATAATTTGTTTTATTTATTGTCCATTGAAATATATATAATATTTTAAATTCACATTTCCATTTATCATATGTATGTCATAAATAGAATTTTTTTTAATTATAATTAAAAAAATATTATTTTATTCCAATCTCCCATATAAATAGACGTGGCCACGGGTCACCCGGCCAGCTGACTTGGCATGGGGCTGGCCGGGACTCGGCCCGTTCAAACCCATTGACCACGGGTCTGAGCCCGGTTCGGATTTCAAACGGGCCGGTCAAGGGTCTTGTTTTTTTCGACCTTGACCCGACGGGTCGGGTCGGGTTCGTGCCAGCACGGAAAATACATTGCTTTTTAAATTTTTTCTTTTTTTTTTAAATTTTTTTATGTGTCTGGACCCGGCCCGCCAGGTCGTGGACCCAGCACAACCCCAGGTCCGTGCCGGTTCAGGGTCATCAAAACCCAACCGATGGCCCGGCGGGCCGGGGCGGGTCTTGGCCATGTCTATATATAAACAGATCCAAATTCCCCCCAACTCAATATACTCCCTCCTATCTTTTTTATTTGTCATTCTAGCTTAATTGACTATTGAATAAATAAATGTCATTTTGGCTATTTTGTTCATACTTTTCCAATTTTAACCCCTCCATCTAATTTCCAATGTCTCTTCATATTCTATCTCTCTCTTGATTTTTCACAAATCTTCATTTATTTTTTACACTAATCATCATTAATTGTGTTACTTAATGGAGTAGTAGTTTTCATTAAATAGGGGTAATATTGGCAACAACAAAAATTCTTAATTAGTGTGCTAGTTGCTAGAATAACAAATAAAAAAGATAAGAGGGAGTATTAATTAACAAGCATTAAGATTTAAGACAAAGCGAACTGCAAAAGGCGAATAAAAAAGAAAAAAAAAAAGAAAGGATACAAAACCTGCCGATTTGCAGCCATGAGTACCATGAAGTTTTGCCGTGAATGGTTCGTGCATTTCCCTATCTTTTTTTGTTGTGCTGTAATTTTTCATTTGCGAAATAAGCTCGATTTTCAAATCGTTGCTGATAATTTCACTGTTTATTTATTTATGCGTTTGCTCTGAGAATTCGGATTACTGAGCTGCTATCCCTGCTACATTAATGGTGTTTTTAAACAGCAATAATATTTTATACCCGAAGGAAGATAAAGAGAGGAAGATTCTGCTGTATGCCTGCCGCAATTGCGATCATCAGGTTAGTGGGTTCCCTTTAATTTTATCTTTTAGAGTGGCAAAGAGTGAGATTGAGATTAGTTGAAGGGGTGTGTGTGTGTGTGTGCGCGCGTGTGTTTCTGTTTTCTTTTTGTTTTTTGGGAATTTCCCCCATATTTTTTGTCTCTCTGGTGTAGGATTCAGTGTCTAGGGTTTAAGGGTTTAGTCATATTGCTTTTCAAATAATTGAACTATAATTTATGTGGGGTATGTGTGTGTGTGTGTGTGTGTGTGTATTTCCGGTTTATTTTGGTGATTTTCCTCATTTGTTCTCTCTATGGGGAAGAATCCAGTGTCTAGGGTTTAGTCATATTGATATTCAAATTGCTGAATTATCGTTGTTGTGTTAACTGTGTTGCGTTTGCCTTCTAAATTTAAGGCAAAGCTCCTCATTTCAACTCTGATAGTTGAGGGGGTTATTGGAGCTGATTAACTTGAGGGTTTTGAAGATACCGGAAAATAGGAGACATTAGACATTGAACTTGTGTGTTTGTATGAGTTTTCATTGTACAATTGTGCATTTAGCTATTTGATTGATTGACTGTATTGTGGAGATGCTAGGTGTAGAAGCATGTCGTATTATGTGCTCATTATCTTGAAGTTTGACATGATTGATCGCCTGAGGGTTGAGAGGATAAACCTTCAATTCATTGTAATCATTGATCTGTGAATGTGATTTTATTTGTTTGATGCGATACTTACATGGATTGGTCATTTTCTACTTCTGTAATATTCAATTTATAAACATAAAAATAGCATGCTTGTGTCTTTGGAGATGTTAAATTTGTGTCTGCCTTTTAGATGGCTAGAACATGCCGCTTGACTATGATGCTTATAAGTTTCACCGAGTAAATTTTTTATAAAATGGTTGGATAGATGAAGCTGGTGATGCAATGGTGAAGTTCAGGAAAGAATGAAAAAAAAAAAAAAAAATCACTTTCTTACTTTTGTTGAAATTTACTCAAATGGATAGGCTTATTTTTCTCTGAGACTGTAAAAGTTTTCCACTATTCTTTACTTGATTAGGTATATTATCTTTGTCAGTTTGTAGGATGTTTCTACATTTTCCTTATTCCCACGCCGCATGTAGATTCTCTTGAACGAGTCAACGATGCCCTTCGCTATCTCTCAGGAGGTTCAATTTGTCTTTTTTAATTCACAAACTGTGAAATTATTAACTGTTGCTTGTTCAACTGCAGCATCTCTAATGGCTATATCGATCGATCATCTATCTGTTTGTCGTAACTGAACAGCTTTTTTCTCTCAAATGATGAGTTGCTGACTTTGTGGGCGTCAACTTGCAGGAGGTTGCTGATAACAACTGTGTGTACAGGAATGAAATACACCATTCGGTTGGGGAACGAACACAAGTCTTGCAGGATGTAGCTGCTGATCCCACTCTGCCACGTACAAAGTCTGTTCAATGTGCGAATTGTGGCCATGGAGAAGCTGTTTTCTTTCAGGTATTTGTTACACTTATGATTTGATAAATTATGCAACTTTTGGGACCGTAATTCTTCCTATATTGCTTTGTATTTTTCTTAAGATGGTAAAGCTTCTTGGCGCTGGGGTTAATTGTGTTCGATGTTTTGGGAGTTTAATATTATCTTTGTTTCATTTTTCATGAATTCGAACATGAAGTGACTACTTTTTTCCTTCTACCTTTTCAGTTCTGTTCTTTTCTTTCTCATGTTTTTTGACACTAATTCACTTGGGTATGTTGATAAAATACTCTCGGAAGTTTCTATGAAATTGGATCTTCCATTTTTGTCCGGCCTGATCTTTAGATTCCAACGGTTGGGCACTTTTACATATCATTTCGTGTTTGAATTTTATGAACAATTGGTGTTTGGATTATTTGTGCAGGCTACTGCTAGAGGAGAAGAAGGAATGACTCTGTTCTTCGTGTGCTGCAACCCGAATTGTGGGCATCGCTGGAGGGATTAAACGAAAACTGCAGTTGTTCGAAACAAATTTGTAGACTTGAGCTAGCTTATTAACAAGGAAACTAATTGACTTCTTAATTTCCCTTGGGTATTTCTATTTGGATATTGTCGAGCATCAATGCCGATATGAGACGCATGAAGCACTTTCGTTTATTGTGTTATCGAATGTTTTCGGCATAAATCAGTTTGATGCTCAAGTGCTTATATCTGCTTAGACTTTGAAGTACTCTTTCTGTGGGGTAAAAGAAGTTGAGACCCTTTTTAATCACTTTAAAATCCAAATTCAGTCATCTGCTTAAGGTTTTAGCTATCTTGTCATGTATGATATAATATATGCTGGTTTACAGCAAGGTGAATAAAACCATGGTTTAGTTAGTCTGTCATGGATGATATATATAATTCATGCTTGTGTACAGCATGGTGAAATAGTGAATAAACTATGGTTTAGTTAGTCTGTCGTGTTTATATGCATAATTTAATGATTGTTCTTGAAATCTAACATTTTAAATACTTTTTCATTTTCTGTTGATAATGATTAGAAAATCACAAACTGACATTTTTCTGTTTCTTGTGCTTTTGTTGTTTTCCCATATTATTTCGTTATAAACAAGGACTGAATGAATTTGAAAGTCCAATTTTTTCTAGATTTATGACTTTTTTTTTTTTTTTTTTTTTTTTTTTTTTTTTTTTTTTTTTTTTTTTTTTACCTTATTACTTTTTAGCAACTCATTTAAGTATGGTGTAATTCAGGTTAAGACCATATCCAGCCCTTACTCTAGCACGGATTTTACTTTATCTTAAAGTAGAGTTAAACATTGGTCTCCAGCTCTTATCTCTGCATTTCACTCTACATCAAATATACTATTTTTTATTCGTTTTTTATTTCAAATAAATTGGTATATATATGTATATTTAATTTTATATAAATGTTTGTTACCCAAATAGTAAAAACTATATTTAGTATAAAAAATACGTTACACAAAGTTATAAATTATTGAACATAAAAAATACATTACACAAAGTCATAAATTAATTAGTGTAGAAAATACATTAAGTATTTAACATAAAAAATACATTTATTAAAACATATTATATAATAATTATCATTAATATTACACTACAATATAAAAAAATAAAATTGTAGAGATGTTATAGTGTTCAAGCTAGATACGGCGCAACATTGTTACAATCTCCAAATTAGCGTAGGCATCTGACGCAGGACTGGACTGCATTTTAGGGCTCCAATACCGCAAAAAGAGAGAGATAGAGAAGCGTTGGAGCTGCGTTCTAATGCTTGCAGAAACATTCTTTTTCAAAAAACATATACTTTAAAGTTTAAAGTGAAATTCCATACTATAAAAATTATCACAAATAAAAATATAATACTACCTCCTATTCAAAATAAATGTCGTTTTGACTTTTTTGATTCATCCATTTTGCTATATATCTAGACATATTTATGTCTAGATACATAGGAAAATAGATGAATCAAAAAAGTCAAAACGACATTTATTTTGAATAGGAGGTAGTATATTATTATCATAGCATAAATCTTGATTAAAAATTATGTCAGATCGGCCTCTCATGGTTGGCAATTCACATTAAAATTTGTGAAATTGTATTCGGTCACGCTTTTTTCTTTTTTTTTTTTTTT